CGGCTCTGTGACCGCGCGCCTCATCGGTCACCGCGACGCTACGCACGCTTCTGGATGACCTGAGTCACGCGGACCTCACGATGGGCCGGAATTTATTTAAACAAAAAAAAGAAACCAGCGGCAAGTTCATCGTTAGCCGTGCCCCATACACTGCTGGACATCTGTGAAGAAAGCTTCATAGCTCGTATTCTTGGTTCTTTCGGTAAAGTCACGTAGAAGGGAAATAATAAAATAATAAAAATATTTAACAAAGATTCTCACGACGTTTCGACTGCAACACAACGACGAGCTTCATAGCTCGTCGGATTCCTCCAGCACAAATACGTATTCTGATTCTAAGTTCACCGCCGAACAGAGGTCTTCCCACGTCGTTGCCAACCCCACGGCGTCTTTGCGACGCCTCGAATTCAGCGCGCCGATCCCGTAACTCCGTCTGTCTGCGTGGTGATCGCGAATCTTGGGGCCCGTTCATTTTCTCACCCCTTTTTGCAGCTGTTCCATCATCGGTCTCCTCCGTAGGCCCACCGTCCGTTACAGAAACCTATCCAGTCCTGGCCCAATTACTTTTCGCAGCTGTCAATATGATGTATCGAATGTTCGTATTGTTCTTTGATCCATGTATTCCTTTCTCTGTGTCTCTCGGTGTATTTGCAGCATGCATCTAGCCATGCATCTCCGTCCACTTTTCAGCTTTCGTTCCATTTAGTTTTGTTGAGGTCGATTTTCAACGACAAGTCACCTTGATGGATTTACAGTCGGCATGTAACAACGCATCAATTCGTTCATTGCATTCAGATTATATGCTCGCTGTTCGTTCATCGAATCGTGTGCGTAAGAATCGATTGTTTTCGATTGATATCTGTTGCACTTAATGGGTTCGATTGACCCCTGCAGCCAGTAGAGGCCGCTACACTCACCACAATTGAGTCTCGAATCAAATCCACAATAAATGTGTTATTGGGTTAAATATAAATGCGTCGTTAAACCGGCCACCAGCCGACACAGCCAATTAATAAGGGTTCGTCACGTAAACACAAGGTGCCAACGAGTTACGAGTTTAGCACGCCCGGTGCGTTGGAGAGTAAAACCCGCAGCATCAACCCGAATCGTGGATAATCATCGGAAGTGGTGAATCGCGATGGGCTAGATTTTGTTTTGCAGTTTTCAATCTGCATACTCGACACACACGGCCGCACATATGAAATATTGCAATGTTTATTAAAAGCAAAGGGTACGCTTCACGTTAAATTAATGGTTACATTATCGAAACAAACGTCACATGGGTCGTGATGTAAACTGAGCTTTTCTATTTTACAAATCTAAAAACATCATCATCATCATCTTATATCTAAAAACAATTTATTCTTTTACCAGGTAAGGCCCACTGAGCTAAAAGCTCTTTTTCAGAAGCGACCTGGCCACAAATGATAGCTCAACGAAGTGGCTTATCGCGTGGAAATTTATAGCAACCAAATACTCTAATCGCGTGTTTCCAAATGCGGAGGGAAAACCCGGAGGACCCGGAGAAAAAAATCCACGCGACCACGGGGAGACAGACACGCAAACTCCAAATATACAGCAGGAGTCAGGGGTCAGGGGATCGAACCCACGATCGCCTGTATTCCAGGTGAGCCAGTTAACCTCTCGCCACGCAACGCGATAACTACCCTTGACCTTATGCCTCTCGTTTTCAGAAAGTTTAATTTCTACAAAGGTCGCAATCCAAGGTCGGAAGGCGTTCGCGGACACCGTGCCCTCGGCACAGTTTTCCACCCCGACGTGAAATTATTACGGCCAAGTGAAATCATCCATTGCGGTCATTTTTAATTCGCTCGCGAATTCTTGGCACGTGACATCCAATCAGCGCCAGGGTATTAATAAAACATGTATTTTATATGAATATAATAACGAGACTGTTACGAACGATGTAGGATAGTAAATAAGCAATGACCTATATATATATTACATCCGGCTCGATTACCGGAGGAGACTTTCTCCCAGAAAGATTGGAAGTCACTTATAAAATAATAATGTCTCTAAAAATGTAAGGATCACAAGGTGCTTTTAGCTCAGCCACGTGCATTCCCTTTGCGTAATTTGACTTGCGTTTAATTCCACATTACAATTGTGGCGCTGAGCTTGTACAGCTTCGCCAAATAAAACTAACGCGTTCGGAGGAAATCCGTCATTCCGTTTGTTGCGTCAGATGGAAGTGAACAATCGCTAAAGGTCAACCATTCATTGAATCACCTACCCTTCAATATGTATATCCATATCTGCAGACACGATGTTCCAGACTGAGTTTACAAAACAGCGTTGTTGACATTCGGAATTTTTGGCTGACTTTGTTGATTTTTTTGTGTTTGTTCGGCGTGGTGTTAAACGATGGCGTTCCGACGTTTAGCACTGATTAATTTATCGGCGACTACTTCCTCCGTGACCATGCAGCAGTGCATTGTGGGAGAGAAAGAGAGAGTTAAGTTGTCGCCAAACTTTTTTCGCCAAATGTCAATTTTCACTTCCACTATTGCTTGGTTTAGGTCTGCCTCCCGCATTGAATGCTGTCCTGTTGTTAATTGAGCAAACGTATGTAATGGCATTTGACGTAACGTGCGAACTTGGTGACAACCCGTGCCACAGATGGGGGCGAATCGATCTTTGTCATATCTAAAACCAATAATGAAAGGAGCATTGCATGAGTGTTACCTGAACCCTCATTAGACTTTGCCGGTGAACAATTTACCGTTAAATTTCCTTCGGAAAATGTGAAACTAAAAAAAGTTGTCTCGGGCAGACAAAAGTTCTAGTTCGTATTGGAAGGGCGATGTCCCAAGTCGCTCGCCACCGGCACTTAGCCGTGCCACGGAGCGATGGGACTGGGTTCACCGTGCAGTGAGAGATGCGCTCCCACGTTGAGCGCTGATTCAGCTGTCGGTAACTTCCTTCCATAGCGCCGCTCTAAGCAGTGCATTGTGGGAGAGAGAGAGAGTGATGTTTTCGCTAAAACTTCTCTCACCAAACGTCAATTTTCATTTAAAGACGAAAAAACAACGGACAACTTTCAGCTTCTAAGGGCTGTAAACAAATCTTGGCGTTTGTTTACGCTGTCACGCTCCACGACACGACCCAGTGAATTATTGGCGACGACTGCACCTTTATTGCCTCGCAGGATCGTGAGAGATGGCAGCGGCCCCTGTGGAGGCATTCACCGAGCAGTGGATTGAGCACGGCCCATGATGATGATGATGATGGCTGTTCTATATGTCATACATCATGTTCTGGTGCGGGGCTAAGCATCGAGGCTGCCTTCATGCTGCCACGTCTAACACGTAGGAGGGTTTTGCGAACAATATCATCCGTAACATAGGGGTTTTTTTTGGGTTGGCTCGCGTAAAAATGTTGTCGTTAAAACCCGCCACCACTCGACACAGCCAACTAGTAAGGGTTGTCACGTAAACAGAACGTGCCAATTCGTTACTAGTACAGCACTAACCGGTGTGTTAGAGAGCCAAGACCCACAACATTTACAAACTGTCGCCTGATGAAGCTGGTTGTAATTACTGGTGAAACGTCGTGCTCAGATTGTAAATGTTGTGGCTTGGCTCTCCAACACACCGGTTAGTGCTGTACTAGTGACGAATTGGCACGTTCTGTTTACGTGACAACCCTTACTAGTTGGCTGTGTCGGGTGGTGGAGGGGTTTAACGACACATTTATATATTGACGCGATCTAACCCACAACAACCTCTATTGTGGATATCCGAGTCACTCAGCTCAGAATGGTCACGTGCTTTTAAAATATTGAATTGGCGATGGTGGTGGTGATTCTGGCTGTGATGTTGATGATGATGATGGTGGTGATTCTGACTATGATGTTGATGATGGTGGTGGTGGTGGTGGTGACGATGATCGGATTCGTGATTCAAATCATGCTGGTGGTAGTGATGATGATGCTGGTGATGCCGAGGATGGTGATGGTAGCGGTGATAACAGTGGTCGTGATTTTCGTCATGGTGGTGATGCCAATCATGATGACGATGTTGATGATAATGGTCCTGGTGGAAATGGTGGCGGTAATGATGATGATGACATTAGTGGTAGAGGTGGTGATTATGATAATAGTGATTATGATGATGGTGTTGATTTTAAGCTTTCGTGACTCCAAGAATCCATACTGCTAAAGTTTATTCTTGCTGTGGTTGTCCCACCTGATGACGATTGCTTGTGTTGCGATCGAAACGTCGTGATCTATTATTTTTCTACCTACGTGACTTTACCGAAAGAACCAAAGAGTATGATGATGGTGGTTCACGTGATTTTGTTCGTGATCATGCTAATGATGCTTAATATCATTATAAAAATAACAGTGGCAGTTATGATGATTATGATGATGATAAACTAGTCTGAGGCTGCAGACTACATTATCGGAAAATGCAATGGCTCAGTGTTAATTTTATTTAGAGAGGCATAGTGCTGTTGTTTTTAAAGACGTTGTACTCCCCGCAGAGAACCATAGCGACACGACTGCACTCTACGATAGGTAACGCCAAATTGTGCCACACGCCCTACTGCATCGCCTTGTGGGAGCCTTGGTAACAATAAAGTTATTTATTTTAGTTTTTTTCCGGTTACATTTTGAACAGAATCGGAAGAAAAACCGATGACGTACACGTATATATAGGTCGTCGGAACAGAATCAGAAGAAAAGCCGGTGATGTACACATAGGAACACGATCTCAGAAGCTAAGCAGGTGCGAGCCTGGACAATGTCTGAATGTGTATAACATACGTCATCGGAACGGAATAGGAAGAAACTCCAATGACGTACACGTACATCCGCGTACGTCATCGGAACGGGAAGAGGGTTAACGGAGTGCCAGCAACAACGATAACGACGACGCCACTGACGAAACCGAGCCGGCGAGAGCTGAGAGAGAGACAGAGAGAGAGAAGCACGCCGAGTGATTCGTCCCCCTGCTCATCTCCCCCTTACGCCCCAGGCCGCGAGGCCGGGCCAGAGCAAACCCTGCGACCGTGCTGCCTGCAGTACGCGGAGCGCGCCGAACCGGACGGGGACCCCGGCGGAGGCCTCAACGGCCGCGAGGGCCACTACGGCGCCGCCGACGCGTGGAGGCCCCCCCTGGACGCCTGCTTTGACTTCGTGAGTGGAGACGCTCGCCATCTCCGTTTTGTATATATACACATATACACACACACGTGTTTGTATCCAGTTTCTTCATTCCTGCATCGCACGCTTTCAGGTGCCATTCTGCGGCCGTCTGGAACGCTCGCTCTTGTACGGCACGTGGGATCTCTTTCGGCACCGCACGTGGCCAACCGCACGAGTCGGAGATGCGGGGGAAGGACAACTGAATAAACACAAAAAGCTATTCTAAAGCAATGAGCTTTCAATCTGTATTTAGAAGTGCACAGCTCCAGCGGTTGCCTGATATCGGAAGGAAGAGCGTTCCAGACGTCCGCAGAAGCGCATCCGAAAGCGCGCGATGCGGCGGCCATCTTTGTTCGATTGTTAGCCAAAAGCCGCTGCTGCTGCTGCTGCTTGCTTGCTGCTGCTGCTGCTGCTTGCTGCTGCTTGCTTGCTGCTGCTGCTGCTGCTGCTTGCTTGCTGCTGCTGCTGCTGCTGCTGCTTGCTGCTGCTGCTTGCTGCTGCTGCGAGGATGACCAGAGTTCGCTTGGTGTGATGGTTTGTGCTCCTTGACGAGATAAGCGAGGTGTCGTGGCATGCGACACGCCGAGAAGCACCGGCATTGAGACAGAACGCGCACACACACACCGAAACATGCGTGCGCCTGTGACCAAGCCACCCGGAACGCGCCACTATGTGGGAAGCTAAGCAGGCGGGGGGCTGGACAATGCTTGAATGTGCGACGACCGTGCTCGCGACACAGGTGTTATAGGCTGCTGTGGGCAAAAAAAAATTCTGTTTGCACTCAGTCACATATTCACTTTCAGATGTTTTCTTGTTCATGTTTTTGTTTTTTGTTTGTTGCGGTTGCACCCGATTCAAGAGCCGAATGGCTCACAGGGCTCTACCTAATATATGAACTTGAACTTGGGCGGCAGCAGCATGGTTGCAACAAAAGTCCAGGCAGTCGCTTTACTATCGTGCTGCTCGTCAGGTGACATCAGTCCCTCCGGTTGTAGATCACAGCAGTGCCACTTAAGAACTGTGAAGGAAGCCAATCAATATCGGTCGTCTCCCAACAGAGGCTGGCCACTGCCATGGGAATGCAGAATTTCCACCACTCAGGTCTACCAACCGCATTGAATCCCATCCTGTTGTCAATTGAGCAGACCGATGTCGTGGCATTTGACGTAACGCGCAGGCCAGTACCAAGACGGAGGCGAATTGATCTTTAGTATATCTAAAACTAATAATGAAACTGCACTGCACGAGTGTGACCCGAAAACTCATTAGACTTTTGGCGGTGAACTATTTTTTTTTCCGTTTAATTTTCTTCGGAAAATGTTGAAGGAAGAAAAATAAAAACCACGCGCACGTTTCCCACGTGGACAAAGTTCAAGTTGGCATTTGAAGACAAATTATTTTGTCAAGACGCTCTTCGCCCCTCCATCTCAGCATAAATAGTCGCTCCAAGCCTGGAGCGTGCAATTCAGACTCTGTCTACTTGACGGACCTGTTCACCTGAGGACGGCTGCTTGCGTTGTGGCCGAAACGTCGTGAGAATTATTTTATTATGTTTTATTTTTATTATTTTATTACTTCCCTTCTACGTGACTTTACTGAAAGAACCAAGAAGACCAACTGCACTAGGCAGGCTAATAAATGTATCATAGCCATTGACCGTGTTAAAATTAAGCGAGCTCTGTTGCTGGCAGGGATGGTGAACAGTGGCGAAACTAATTAGCTTGGTGTGCAGGGTGTCAGGTGGATTGTTACCTCGCAGCTCCATGAGAGATGGTGACGGCTTGGGGAAGCCTTTATCCAGCAGTGGGTCGATCATGGCCGATGATGATGATGATGAAAAAGAAGATGGGTTTTCCCGCACATTTCTGTTTAGCAAGGAAAACTGTTCTTTATCCTTCCATTTGTCCCTGTTTAATTATTGTTATTATTGTTTTGGTATTTTTTTGTTATTAGCATACGGTTTTGGAAAGTTTACGACTTGAGTAAAAAAAAAATCTCATTCTATTAATGGAAAGTCACCCGTGTACAGCCAGGCTGTATATTCTCTCTCTCTCTCTCTCGATAATGGATCAAACAAAAGCCCTGCGCGGAGCGGCCCACGAAGACCGTTCGCCGTTCTCCAACCCCGTAGATAGATATGGACCGCGCGGAATGTTTAAACAAAAATGTATATTTTTTTAAAAATCCGACGTAGTTTCTTCAACGTAGAGAGCCTACCCTATGATGCATCGGTTAAAACCGCATTTGCATTGTACAGAAGCTCTGCTTTCCATAACAATAAGAAAAAAGAAAAGAGTCACGTGCATGGATACAATCATGGCTAATGGAAATGTCCTGCACGTGAACCTTTCTTGCGGACAAAAGACATTTCGATTTTAGCATTGCGTGCAATTCTAGAAGCGGTCGTCGGCTACGTCCCCAATTGTGATTCTATTTATTTTGGCTCGCCTATTGACCCTTCAGAATCATAACTTAGTTGTAGTCTTGGCTTTTTCGGTGTGAGCATAAATAATGATGGCGTAACATTTTTTTTTTTTTACAAAACGCAAAACAACGTTGGCTTTTTGTTAGGGCCTAAAGGCAGCAGAACATTACCGTTACCTCCCTACTTTGTGCAGTTTCCCTTCGATAAAATTGCATGTTACCAAGTCTTTTAAAATAACAAAAACAACCGCCATTCGCCACTAAGTGGCGGTGACGTCACCACGACGCTTGTGCCAGGCCATGTGCACCTTGAGGCCACGTGAAGTGTCGAACGCCCGCTGGCAGGAGGTCACGGGGCAGACCCAGGTGCCACGAGTCGACTGACTGAGATGACCAAGATAAAATAAACGTCACCATTCAGACACTCGCAATCAATATTGCACGATTTCATATGTTTGTCCTCGTGACAAATAATTCGAATTTATTTTAATTTATCGCGCTCCTTTCATCGAACGATCACAAAGCACTATCCCCGTGTAAAAAATGCCACCGCTCTGTACACAAAGAGCTCAATCAGGGCAATCAAGAGCTACAAATATAAGCTGCCCATGCAAGACAACACACACACAAAGTGCTTGCCGCAAATGAAGCACAATAGCTTGCTGATCACGTCAAGGAGCATAAACCTTCACGCGAACTCCGGTGGTCATCCTCGCAGCAGCAGCAGCGGCGTGTTGGCTGCTGGCCATCGAACAAAGGCGGTCACCGCATCGAGCGCGTGTTCAGACGCGCGTCTGCGGCCGTCTGGAACGCTCTTTCTTCCGATATTAGGAAGCCACTGGAGCTATAGCGCTTTACTTGGCTCTCCAACACACCGGTGTGCTGTACTAGTAACGAATTGACCACGTTCTGTTGACGTGACAAACTTGACTAATTGGCTGTGTCGGGTGGTGGCGGGTTTAACGACACATTTATATATTTACGCGATCTAACCCCCCAAAAAAACCTCTATTATGGATGATATTGGTGGCGATAGCCTACTACGTGTTGTATTAAGGGTTGGTGTGCATATATTTGCCCGTGACCAAACCAAACAGAATGCGCCCCGCATCACCGGTTCTCGGAAGCTGAGCGGCATTGGCCCTGGACAGCGTTCGGATGTGCGACCGCCAATGCACAAAACAGCTTCTCTCATAGAACCCTGGGGCTTCTGTGGTGCGCAGGAGAGGACAATGCAACGCACTTTCTCGTACCGCGCTTGTACGCCCCCTGCATTCACCAACCTGCGATGTCCATGCAAAAAAGATTTAACTACACTTATTTGACCAATCTTATTTGACAGACAACTATTACAGGTTTACCATGTTTCTCCTTTTCACACTATTGTTAGGTAGGCCAGGTTGAGTCACAAACCGTACCTCCCCATAACAAAGGCTCACCCTCTTAAGCCTCACCTTACCATATGAATAAAAAGTGTGCTGCACTTGCCCCTTCCCCCCTCTCCAACCATTATATAAACGGAGTGGTAGCTCCTGCAATCTCTCATTTACTTGATACAGCTGTCGTGGCTGTGACGGTTCCACCTGAAGACGGAAGCTTGTGTTGCCTCCGAAACGTCGTGATTTTTATTTTATTTTACTTTTATTAATTTTAATGTTTTACCTACGTGACTTTACCGAAAAAACCTAAGAATATGAATCCTTGCAGTCACGAAAGCTTCAAATCAAGAATTGATGTCCAGCGTGGTCAAAGTACTGGACAATCAATCGATACGTAAATAAAATTCCTACGATCCGTAGAGTCTTAGGGAGGCCCTCCTCTAGCAGTGGATTGAGAACACAAGCCGTGGACACATTTAGAGAACAGTCCGTGCACCTCAAATGCCGGCCGGTGTGCTGACGGATATATGCCTAAATATTTAAACACCTGACATAAATCGTGCCCCGGGCCTCAATAAAAGGGTTCAATGAAGGGCATCGCGGAGGCGAGATGTTAACCACCTCGCCTGGTGTACAGGAAGTCGTGGGTTCAAACCCGAACCTGGCGCCTGTACATTTGGAGTTAAACATTCTGATTCTGATATTTGGAGTTTGCATGTTCTCCCCGTGGTCGCGTGGATTTTTCTCCGGGTCCTCCGGTTTTTCCCCTCCACTTTTAGACACATGCGCTTGTAGTATTTGCTGTACATTTCCACATGATAAGCCACTTCGTTGAGCTATCATTTGTGGCCAGGTCGCTTCAGGAAAAATAGCTATAGAGCTCAGAGGTGCCTTAAAATAAAATATTAAACCATGTTTAATAGCTTCGGTTCATCAGGGAACAACCCAAGGCCACATTTCAACGTGAATGTCCTCCAATCAGGTGTCTGAGCACTTACAATCGGTGAAATATTCAGCACTCCCCTTTGTGAGTCAGATGTTTAATTAAACAAGTGGCGCCTATAGTTCTTAACGAGCAACGCATCTCGTGGGAAAATCCCGATAGAAAGTGGCAAAGAGCCAGCCCAAGCTCCGAGTCCTTAGATCCGTCACGATGAAGGTTGTATGGGTTAAGATCGCGTGAATATA